ATGATTATGAATTTGGCGTTTTGCAAGCTAGATTAGTTGGTAAAATTTTATGTTTCGTGCTCGAATTTCGGGTTTTTACCTCTTTTATATCCTTCAATCTAATGGGAAAACTATCCTTTGATTTAGCTCGTTTGCAGTGAAGTTTGTGTGAAATATCTGGAAGCAAGACTGTAGAGTGTCATATATTATACAAAACTTAAAGCATTTAGAGACGAAGGGGTGAGGAATAAATTCAGTGTGGCATTTTGAAGACTGTCTATTTAGTTAGTGTTCTTGTTGACATGGTCTAGATTGTAACTTAGAAGCACAAAGGATTCTAGGCTAGAAAGGGTAACCCTTACCCTTAAGAATGCCGCTGGTGCTGCCGTGCCTCCTAAATTTCGCATGAATGGTCAGTCCTTTTCGATTGTTTGGATATTATCCTCGTTACTTTGGTTAAGCTAAATGTATCGATATGAGTGATCGATGCTGAAATGCCTCTGCTTTCATGACTAATTCACTTAGGTGGATGTTGATACCTTAAGTAGTTCATGAAATCTAAGGAGCAATTTGTGCATTTATTTTCTTTAGATTTTTGAAGTGTTGATAGTTGATTTCTGAACCTGCACAAACTCTGTTTCATGATTTCTGTTTTGTGGGTGTGAATTTGGACCTCCCAAGTTCCAGATTAGTTATGAAACTTATTTTTATGTGGGGTTTCATGCATGCCTGTGAGAACAGTTGCTAGCTTGACCGATATCTAATTGATGGTTTCCTATCCATGTTAGAATTTGTCACCGAGCAGTCACAACAATTCTAAGTGACATGCTCATATGTAAAAGCTGTCTGAGAACTCAAGAAGGTGATTTAATTGATGGCGAGGACAGCATGTTAGTATATATTATGAGTTTTAAGTGTTCACAATCACTGTAGACATCGTCTGAATTAAAGTATGAGAAGGCTGACCACCATTTCAGGCAAGGAAAGCAGTATAATTCTTTATTGGTAATGGTCAGATAGTGATGCATGTCTTTATTGGATTTTGAATCTCTCCTTATTGGTTGCGAAACTATCTTGCATTCTTGAGTTACAAATACATAATATTCTTATGAGGGTAAGTGGTGTTTGACTTAGGGGATCCAGTGATGCTGCCATATGATCCCAAGAAACTCATTTTGTCAAGTCAATATGCTGCATCTGCACTGTCTAAGACTTATGGGATATATCCTGGAATGTCATCTATGTACCGGCTCCAGAACAAGATTAACATAAAAGGTTGCATTCATATGTCTCCATCACTCTCTAAAGATGATTACCGAAGCCTTTTTGTCAATCAGGTATGCTGCATAGTATTTTTTTTCCATTTAATTGCCAGTTGTGATTTGAAACCTTATGCTGATCCTCATTAACCTTAATATTTTCTCTTTTTATGCCACATATTACCTTTTTGCTTTTCAGATTTGTAGCTACTTAATTTCACAAAGAAACAATGCGGAACTTTTCTCTTTTTTTGGTCTAATCAATATGGAAACTGCTGCATAACCTCTTAATTTCCCCTAATTGCAGGCAGATACTTTTGTCAAGCTGTTTCATTAATAAGTTAATTTGTATGACCTTCCTGATAGATTTTTCATTATTTCAGTTCTCATGTATGGTTTGACCCAAATTAGAAGGTTCTAACTTTATGGCTTCCAATCAATTTAATTTCAATTATATTAGATAGTGAGCCATAAGTATCAGAAACATCTGAATAATGTTCTCCAGGATTAAAGCTATTAAAAACATTTGACTAATCATTTTCTACTAGTAAATTGGTGTCAAGCATTTGTCTCATAATTTGAACACTTGTCAACATGACAGGAAGCATGGATTGCCAGATTTCCTACAAGAGCAATTCTATTGACTAATGCCATGTTTCTGGCTATGCCTTCAGAAGCTCTAGCAAAAACAAATGAGGCAGACAATTCCTTCCTCAATATGCCTGTGCTCCTATTTGTAGCACTTGTTGGGGCAACTGTTGGAGGTGAGTGTTTATTTTTAATTCTCATATTTCTATAAATTTCAGACTGAACTTTTTGGTAAATTAGTTGAGACTGGAACACATAGAATCTGTATAAATTGATAGAGGGAACAAGACTTAACGTTGGCTATAAGAACACTGCTAAGACAGGCTTACTATCTTTGTCTCAGCTTGATCCCTGAAGCTTGTGAAAGAACTCATCCAAAGTTTTCTTTATAATTACACTAGAACCATATGGAGGGCTGAAGGTGATAGGCGAGCCTGTACTAGTTGAAACTCATTTTGTTGATTACTGCTAGAGTTCTATATGTGTTAGTTGCCTGAGAGAAGCCATAATGCTTACATGCCTAGTAAGTTACCTCTTACCACAAGAGGAAGACATCCTTGTGCATGTTTAAAAAGATTGCATCTCTGTTACTGAATGTTGGATCTTTCATCTGAGAGCATTTTTGCCTGAACTAATCATCAAAATGTGGAAACAATAGTTATACAATTGCTAGTTTTCTGCGCACCTTGATACTTCCCATATCATATGAATTGGACCTGGAAATGTGTTGTACTGTTGCAGCCACTGTCCTTGGAAAACCTTTTATGGGCTTCAGATGTATGCAGAGCTGATGAAGTATTAACTATGAATAATTCTTCAGTTTCACCTACTATACATTATTCATTGAAGTAACATGAAAATTCTGACAATCATTTAAATAATACTGGCCTTAATTACACAAAATCACAAATTGCTAATCTCTACTCATCTCCTGTGCTCAGCCCCTGGGTCCAAGCTATATAAGCCTTTATAGCTGATAATTCGAACCTAGAACGAAGGTTTCTGTTACCTTGTGGATTGCGCAAACCACTCATAATCATACTAATTTCATGGCTAAGTAGTAGATTGTTGGTGCTTTGTAACTTGGATCTTAAAATTCTGTGCTTCTATTACAGGGTTACTGGCTCGGCAAAGGAAGGGAGAACTTGAAAAACTCAATGAACAACTGCGTCAGATTAATGCAGCACTAAGAAGACAAGCAAAAATTGAATCTTATGCCCCTAGCTTAAGCTATGCCCCTGTTAGTAACAGAGTCCCAGAGAGTGAAGTAATAGTTGATCCAAAGAAAGAGGAGCTGATTTCTCGTCTGAAGGCTGGGAAGAATTATCTAAGGAACCAAGAACCAGAGAAAGCATTTACAGAGTTTAAGGTTGCTCAGGAACTTGCTAAGAATTTGAACGATCCTATCGAGGAAAAGAAAGCTGCCAGAGGCCTAGGTTGGTTTTTGCTTTATCTTATGATCTGGCTATAAGTTCTGCAATTGTTGTTTACATGCAGCATTTTCTGCCCTTTAACTTTGCTTCTTTATTTATACACCATCAAGTGTCTAGTCAATACCATCAAAACGAGCCAATACATGAGGTTCAGAACTAAACAAAATAATATTCCAGCAGAGACAAGTTGGTGAAATATTAGCTTTAGCTATCAAATATCCCAATGTAATTTCTGTTATTTAGAAGGTAACATAAAGCAGCAGAGGGGATTAAGGAAAAAAAAAGGCACTTGTATGGGCTTTTCATTTGTATTTGGTCATTTGGACATATAAGCTGTTTAGTAAAAGAGTACATTAGGGGAAGAGGAGTAAATACAATCGCTTATAGTATATCCCCTGTGTCCTTAAATAGATACTTCGTATCATATCTGGGTTTGGCATGGGAATTTTGAAAAGTAGCTAATGAGAGACAAATATGAGAAAAGGGTCTATGAAGAGAGAAAATACTACTTTGAAAAGGTAAATGTGTATTTTTGAGACGTCCATTTAAAGCAAGTGCTATGTAGGACAGAACGAGTATTTTATAAAGTAAATTGGCTCTTTTTCAATAGGGTAATGGTAGGAGTATAACAATATGCTCCATACTTCATAATATATAAAGTAGATCGCATAAATGTTGGAATTTGCCAATTATCTACCTTGTACCACTGTCATAGCTGATACAAAGTATACATTTGTCCTTGTGCTTGATTATGTAGATTTGAAAGGCAAATTGTTAGTTCTAATAGGATCTATTATTACTATTCCTTGTTAGAACTGCTAATGAAATTTCTATCCGTTCATGGTCAAATAGGGCCAATTTGTCTACCTTATTCAGCATAATGTATGCATGGATGTTTTCTGTACCATATTAAAGTATGAACCAAGTTAAGAGGGCTAGATATCGAAGTTTTTTCTTAAAAATAATTGCTGTTTGTTTCACATGTGGTTTACCATTTCATTTGAGGATTGGATACTCCCTCGCCGAGTGGGTCGTCACTCCATTATTGGTAATGGTATTCCCCTTGAACGCTACATACACAACATCAAATATGCATGCACTAAATTTGAACTGTTGAAATGCTTTTCAGGAGCCTCCTTGCAAAGACAAGGGAAGTACCGTGAAGCCATAAAATACCACAACATGGTACTGGGTATATCTAAGCGCATAGGAGAAACTTCAGGAAATACAGAGGCGTATGGTGCAATTGCTGACTGCTATACTGAGCTTGGAGATCTTGAAAAAGCTGGAAAATTCTATGACAAGTATATTGCTAGACTAGAAGATTAACCTGCCTTTTTACCTTTACTGTCCCTTGCTAGCAACTCTAGAGATGTAGTGCAATTTTTTTGTAAAATCAGAATCATATTAGAAAGCTTTTGTATCACAGCTGGGCTATATTTCACCAGAGGAATGATCTATTCTTTTTTCTTTCACTTTATGGTTGAAAGTTTGATTTTAATTTGTAATATTTTCCCTCGCTATAGCCTACACAATTTGTCAGTAACGTAATCTACATAACAGAGAAACATAATCAGCTAAGCAACAGAGGTTCAAAGTTTCTGGACAAATTGTAGCAATGTAGTTGTCGGTGGGCTTAATTAACTTACAATTTTTGGGCTAAAAGATCAATAGCAGAAACTAGCTAACACCAGAAAGAAAAAGCTAACTTTGTTAACGGGTAAAAATGTGCACACCTAGATAGTAAATACTTCGTAATATTTTGGTCATAACTGTCATATATGGGAAATTAGTATACACATAAAACTTCCTCATAAACTGCTGTCATAAGGCTCCGCAACAATATGGTCATCCAAAGTCTAAGAGAAAAAAAAAAATATATATATATATATAAGCTACTGTCCGTAATGGACAAACTTCCTCTAGATCAACCATCAGTTCCTACAAGATAGGAAGAAAAGAAAATAAAAAGAAACAGAAATTTCAAAAGCCGGGGTAGAGAAAAGGTGGAAAAAGGAAAAAAAAAAAAAAAAAAAAAAAAAAAAAGGTTACATCATGCATCAACACACAGCACAATCAAGTACAGGGAGGGTAAAATGCCTCAATCCCACCCCCCATATAAAGGAGAAACATAGATAGCTAATAAAACAATTTTTAGACACACGAATGCAGATCCGCAGGGCAGAACGAATCCAGAAGGGCTGTGCATCAAGATCTTAATGGTAGTACATCATTTGCTGGGCAGCAACATTTTGATACCCGCCATCATAAATAGCTTGGCTAGCTCCAGCAGCTGTCATTCCCATACTACCCTTGTTGAGTGGATGTGGCCCCTGTGTATGCATCAGAGCATGCATCCCACCCATCTTACTCATAGCTAGTTGCCTCTCATAAGAGAGAAGATCTGTAGCAGAAAGGCCTAGAGGTGCAGGGGCAGGTGGAGGAAGTGGGTTTGAAGCTGTCCCTGCTGGTGTCGGCTTGCTTCCCCAGGAGCACTACAAGCAATGACAGACATCAGGAAGCCAGGCAGAAGAAATATTTAAAAATACCCACTCTTCTATTAAATGGATAACATAAAATGATCATAATCATCAAATGCATCAAGCAAAATCATGATGTCACAAAGTTAGAAAACAATCAATATCCGGGTTAAACTCATACATACTTTCATGAATAGTGAAATTTGAAAATGTATGCATCATAAGTTATAACATAACTAAACAAGACCATGCTATCTATGTACACTGTTGTGACAATTCAAGATGAGATTCAGAAGACGCACCTTGATTAATTTGCCCAAAAGCATACTTTGTGTATTTCCCAACTGTATGGCCAAAGCTGCTTCTGCATGAGTGCTGTACCTAACAAAGCCAAAGCCTTTGTCTCGCTGCACCCTCACTTCTTCAATAGCTCCAGCACCCAAGCTATGGAAGTGGCGATGGAGATCAAGCTGGGTAGTCTGCAAGCAAAACATGGCTAATCAGTGGTAAATATCTGCCCATTCTCTTCTAGCATTAGTCAAGAACCCTTGTAACAAGCATCATTTCTTATAACTCTGGTTCTTATTGTAACATTTTCCATTTAACCACACTAACTCATGTAACTGCAAGTTCAGCCCAATACCTCCCTACTCCAATTAACAGTATAACACAGCACATCTGACCAAATTTCTTCAAATACATTAAAAAAAATCTAACAGTGATTTTGAGAAACATGAAATGGTGTGCTCAAGAAAACAACAACATATTTCACGACCCTTCAGCCACGACAATAATGCTACTGGGTAGGGCACAGCAAGTAAACCGTCTAGTTGTATAAGCAAAAATGGACCGCCCCCTTCCATTGTAAACAATAAGAAAAAAAGGAGAAAAAAAAAGAGCATAAGTGACATTGCATTACCTCAGGGGCAAGATTCCCAACATATACAGTTGTATACTGAGGATTGTTTTCAGGTGCTTCGCTGTTTGTGGCCTCCTTTCCATCTTCTGAAAATCCCAAAAAGATTTCATCACAAAAACAGATTGCATGTATAATTCAGAAATGGGGATAACCTATTCTGTAGGAGCATATACACAAGATAAACAGTGGAAGAGCATCAAATGCAAGATGATTTAGAAGAAAAAAGTCTGAATATTATAGATGGTTCACTAGAGTTCCTATTTGTCACCAGCTTGTTAAATTTCAGAAAACATATTTGCCAACGAGGGCAGGTATAAGAGCCACCCGTTACTTTAAACAATAATGATTCAGGATGGAATCAAGTATATCCTTCTCCAAGTTGGTCACTGTCATCTCCATTGGAGACTCATTCCAGATAAGATATCCAGCAAAGAGACTCATGCACACAAAATGAAATTAAAAATATTCAGTACATGAAAGTCACTGGAAGCCTTCCTCCATTTGAATAGCTATACTGTATAATTCATTAAATTCTTTGAACGTAGTAGATTAAAATTTACAAAACAAAACTTCGCCACAAGTCTCCAAACTCCTTACCACGTTGATGAGCTCAAAAACATTGTGTTAAAAGGAAAGGCAACACCTTATAGGCAGGGAAATACTTCACTATCTTAAGAAGATTTCTAGAAACAGGTTTCAGCTATAAAATTGGCCTATAGCAAAATGCTGTGGTGTGGAGTATACTAGTATAGACTGGATTTCCAATGTTGCTCCAACAAAAAAAGTATTCAATGAACAGAGTCCAGGTATAAAACCAATGCAGGTCATGGTTTAAGCACAGGTGCTTCAACAATATTTTCCTAAGTTTGCATTGTACAATATAACACACAAAATCTAAACCTAATGCTGAATTACCTTTCAAGTTCTCATTGCCATCTTTCTCACTAGTCACTACAGTCCATATTTCAGAGGGCTATCAATCACAATTTAAGCCAAGATATTTCAAATTTCTACACAAAGGCACCAGGCTGGCAAATATAAGTAAGAATTGACTGAATATCTGATTTTTCTCGGCACTAAGACCTTCATTATCATGGTTTCAAAAACCAGAAGAATTGTATGGTGTTTTACAGGTCGCATTAACATTTATCAGAATCTCAGAGGTCTCGAGTGAAGAAGGAACACAGTTCCTTTTGAAGAGTGAAGATCTAGTACCCAGCACGGTTAGTCTACCTTAAGGGTCAAAAGCATAAGCTTAGCTGAACACATACAGAGATTTACTTATGATGCCAATTGTGAAAACAGGTATCTACCCTTGCCTTGCTGATACAGGATAACAATCTCCTAGGTGCCCTCTAAATCAGCATCTATAGCCCAAAAAAGAGCAATATATATGCTAATTAAAAGTGAATACTTTCCTAAGATAACAACAGATCCTAGAATCATCAGCTTTCAGAATCCCGTCAGGTTAGTCAGCAAGCCAAGCATGTAGATTCCTCTATGAACCTTGTTATTTATTCTCCACTTAATCAACCCAAAGGCACACCCCTTCCTTCCATGCACTTTGATAACAAACTCGTAAAGCTGTGACAGACTGACAAGTGACAATAGACTCTAAGCCAACAGATTGAAGACACTTGCAATGATAATGCACTCAATGTTACAACTAATAAGGACACTTCCAATTTTTTAAACATACATATAGCACCTTATGTCAGTAGGACCTGAGAACATCAACATCATTGCCAAGCCTCAACTAAAGAGGCTTCCATTCAAGACATAGTATGAGTTGTATCTAAGCATCTGCAAGAAGGGTAAGCTAGTTCTGAGTTCTGACAAAGTGACATGCAACAAGTCAAACAACAGCTAGCATTTTAATCTAGTCCACAACCAGAGCCAGACAATGAGACAACAGAAAATCTAACTCCACTGAAGATAAATATGATTATATGAATCACAACTTGCCAATAATTACAGAAATAAATAAAAAACAAAAACGCCCACATGTTCCTATCATTAGAATTTGAGCTCTGCATGCCTTATTCTCTTTTAATTCCATATATGTTGAATCACATCGACCTTGGTGTCAGTTGACCTCCATGACTCATTTCTAACTGCTAAAATTATACCAAAAACAATCACGAAACAATAACTTCAACCTTTTTTTAAGATATGGTCATGGAACTAATGCCTAAAATCATTTCACCAACTCAATAATAACCCAATAAGGTAGAGACGTTTTGAACTTAAATGCATGAAATCCTAGAACATAATGTGAGATATTACAAACCTGATGAACCATTTGTCAATTCCACAACACTTTTTGAATCAGTACTTTGCTTATCATCATTGTTAGTAGCACCTTTAGTGGCCCAATTGCAGCGTATCTGCCTACTACCAAGCCATTTTCCTGAAATATACATACATAGCATTAATATAGTTATGTTGAAATGTAGAATTACAATTAAATCAGAAGGAAATCTATGTATCTAAGAACTATGGGGAGCCACATTCTTGATAGCAAAAGGAAAAACACAGCACAGACGGCTTTGAAAGCAAATAAGAGTCAAAATGACAATATTATCTCCAGTCATACGAGGTCCCATCAGTTCTAAACTTCAAATAAGAACCCCAAGTTTTAAGCATACCATAGCCTTATTATACACCAAATAAAACATAGTTTATCTAAATTAAACCAAGTAGGAATGAAAAGTTACATCTGTGACAGAAGCAAAAAGGTCAAAAGTTCACTTATTCTGGTGTGAAATATCCACTTTAACATGTAATAATGACTTGATAAAAGGCAAATATTAGCGAAAAATTTCCACCATAAATTATACAAATCCCTCTAAGAAACATTCAACAAAAGGGGAATAGACAACCATATGATGAACATCTTGCTCTGAACGATACAAGACATACAGCAGCAAGATAACAAAGAAAGGGAGAATAATGTGCATGATTTGAAATGCACTTACCAGTAAGATCATTTATAGCGCTCTGGGCATCCTGTAGCATCAAAAGAAATGTTAAAAGAGGAATTTCTGGTACAAAGAAGTCAATGAGGGAGAAGAAAAAGAACCAAAAATAAATAAATAAATAAAAATGAAGAAGAAGAAATGAAACCACCTGCTGGCTGCGAAATGAAACAAAACCAAACCCCCGGGAACGCCCGGTTTTCTGATCCCACATTACTCTTGCATCTCTGAGAAAAGAAGAAAATAACAAAGTCAATTAAATTTGAAAACCACCAAAATTCACCAACAAACATGGCCTTGGGTATCATCATTCAGCAGTGACAAAATTCAATATAAAAAACAAAAACAACAAATATTGACATGTAACAAATACTAGTATTACAAGTATAAAGCAAAGATCCAAATAAAGATAGGGAAGAATGACGCTTACGAACAACTAGGATACGTGGAAAAACAAGCAAACAGCATCGCATCAGTAACCTCGGGACTCAGGTCCCCAACGAATACATTGAAGTGGTCTGAAGAATCTTCACAGGTGTCAGTAACTAAGCCACTTATATGAAAAACATCAAATATAAATTGTGCTAGATAACTAGAATCAAGATGATGATGAACTTACTTGAAGTGTCTTCTCGCTGACCACTAGTATACGCCCAATTAACCTTTATAGGCTGCCCAAACCTATATAACAAATAATTAACATAAGAAAAGGCAAAAGATGCAGAATGGATAGAAAAACCAAACAAGTTACCACTCACAAATGCCTTCCATTAAGTGTCAATATAGCCATGCTGGCAAATCTGCGATCATAGTAGTGAATGAAACCATAGGACGACTGCACGTAGCAAAAGAATTTTGTTAGCACCCAACTCTGATCCAAGAACTAATCCTAAATAGGCAGTAGTGCTGTACCACACAACTAAGCAGGCGAAACAAAATTGATAAAGAAAATCTAAAGGATAAAGAACTTCTAAAAATTCCTCGGAAGTACTCTCTTTAACTTTAAAAATTTCTTCACACTTGCGGTTGGCACAAAGGTTAAGAATGATAGTAATTAATGGACGGAGAAACTAATTAAGTATTGGGATAGAAAAATCAAAGGAGTTAACGTGATAGATAGCAAAGAGTTACCTATAACTCAAAAAGAAAAGTGTAATGGAACCATTTGAATAATAGAAAACGAAAAGTGTGCTAGAAAGTAAGAAACAAAGGGAGTAGATGTCTAAAAGCCCATTGAAGCTGCCCAATTCAAGGGTAGATGAAAACTTAGGAATCAAGTAGTCCAAATATTGAACCCAAATATATGCTTCATTAAGCAGTACTTATTGATTTTGAGGTCAAAGTTACTCCCATGTTATAATTCTCAAGACATAATGGCCCTTTTGATCTTTGCCCCCCTTCAGTGAGGAAGTTGTCATGTTGTCCTAGTTTATAAATCTTATATTTGCTCATCTTGCAGAAACGAGAAAGAAAATTCCCATCCACTATCTTTCACTCATATCCACAAGTCATAGACCTTTCACTAAGTAACCTAACAACCGCAGTGAATACCTTTTCCTTCCTAATAAGCTTGCAACCTTCAACAGGGCCAGCACTAGCAAAAACCTCTTGGATTAATGGTTCAGTGACTTGAGGATGAATATTACCCACATACCTGCATTTTCTCAAAAAATAAACAAACTAGAAAATTAAAGAAAAAAAAAAGAAAAAAAAAACAAGGGAAAAAAAGTGCTATAAGGAACCTTGTTCAGAATAAGCTAGCCAAAAATGCACATAGAATTATTTTATTTAAAAAAAAGAAGGGGGGGGGGGGGGGGGGCTAAAAGAGACAGCAAAAAGAAATTATAAGAAATATGCAACAACACTTACACACTACGGCATGTAGAAGGATCAAAGCCCGGAGGAAGGTTTCCACTGGGGTATGGCTCTATCTGAACGTTTAAGACAGGTAAATATGTAAGTTTATAGAGGAGAAGGAGGGATGATAAAAATATACATTTTCAAATGCACAGGAGAGTAGGCAACCATCACTACTGTTCAATGCAAGTATACTCAAAAAAACAGAGGTAAAGGTGACATGCTTAGAATGCAACTTTATAAAGCATTATGGTCTCTCTAAAAACTATAAGCAAACAGGGCATAACTTCTACCAACAAAAAGGTGAACGGCAAAAGACCCAGCACAAGCTACTCAGCAGCCAAGTTCAAACTTGGCAGAAAAGTCTAGGCGACTGACTGCATATAAGAGATAGAACCCTAATTTGAGATAACAAGTACACCAAGTGTGACAACACGCCCCACATCGTGAAACAAGACCCAAATCAAACCAGGTTACTAATCAAAACAATTCAGCATCAATAGGAGATGATATAACTCACGAACAAAGACAATAAACTCACACTTTGGTTTATGGTCAGTAAAAAAGATACTTCAATATCAAACAGTATACCATCTAGTCTAGAAACACTAATTCAGCCATCACAAAAGTAAAGCTCAAGCAAGCACAGCCATCAAATTTAATCATTTAATACAGAGATGACTCCTGGGAATGAGACGTAAACAATTAAGAAAATCAGCTCACACTTGATAAACTGATACTCATTGGAATTCTTGTCTTGAATCAAATTTCAAAGCTTACATCGTAAACCATAAAAGTTGAACCCCATTTTTTAATAAAGCAATAATTTCAAGTCCAAGAAACATAATATCCAGAAATGTCCCAAAAAGAATTCAAATTGAAGCAAAAAAAACCCCATCACTCTTAAGCCCGAACAAGCTAAAATCAGCGAGACTGACAAATAAAAAATAAATCAAAATGACCCCATTATTACAAAATCCAAAGTTTCGAAACTTCAAATCCTAGCTCACAAAGGTAAAACATCAAACAAAAACAGAAAAATCAAACACCAAAATCAAAAATTTCCAAAAACCCTAAATTAATCTATCCAAAATGACCGAACCTAAAACAAACCCAAATCCCTAGCTACCAAAACAAGCAATCAAACCTCAAAATCGGAGGAAATTAAAACTGAAATGGATCAAAAAAAATACCTGAGGAGCAGCAAGAAGACCAGGGTGGTAAAGAGACTGTTGCTGAAGAAGAGCTTGCTGCATCAAAGCTTGTTGTTGTTGCTTCATTCTTTGATTCTGCATTCTCAATAAACCCAGAAATTGAAATCAATTTGGGGGGAAAATTAAGATAATGGATAGATATTTGGGGTTTCTGGGTGTGTTTTAGGGTTCGAGAGGGTTTCGACTTAGAGAAGAAAACCCTCGAAGAAAATTTTGAGGGAAAGAGGAGAGAGAAAATGAGAGGGAGGCCTTAAGGGAAATACGAGTATAACTGTCCCATGAAATAAAAAAAAATTTGGTTTTTCTAAGCTATGCCACCCAAGGTATTGAATTTCTAAATTGTATTCATGCTTTTTCAAAGTTAGTTTTGTCCTCCATTTCACGATATTTTATCAACAATATCCTTTGACAGTCATATCCATTAACGAAAGTTAAGAGGCGTTAATAATTTGACACATGTCTTGTTCTAATTGATCCAACACTTTAAAAAAAGTTAAAAAATCAGAAAATAAAATAATTAAAACTTAATTAAGAATTGATTTGAAAAAAAAACCAACCACCCTCCCACCACCACAACCCAGCCCATCAGTCCACGTCGTCGCCGCCGGCAACCGGCTGTCCACCCTTGCCCAAAAGATTCCTCCCGCCGGCGAGCCCTGTCCTTTCCCCCTCGCCCTCCTTCTTTCCTTAACACTCCACGAACACAACCACGTGACGCAACCCAACCTAGAAAACCCAGCCCAAAAAACCGACAAGCCTAGAAAAATCGACCACCAACCATTGCGAAACAACCAACAATCCCTTCCCCCACCTCGAAACGACTCCCCCTCGTCGTTTCGGGGTGTGAAAAAGGGAGTTAAGGGTTGTTTCGTGGTGGTTTGATGGAGGAATGAGGGTAGTCGGTTGGTTGGGGTTTCGAGAAAAAAGGTGGATGTAGAGAGGGTTAGGGGAAAGGGAGGGGCTGGAGGTGGATGAGATGGGGAGATACAGTACCGGCCGGCCAGTTTAGGTGGTTAAGGTGGAGTGTCGGGCGGTTTCCCGGCGAGTTTAGGGGAGGGGTAGGGTTTGGCGGTCGGGGGAATTTTGTTTTTTTTTTTTTAATTTTTTTTTATGTTTTTGTTTTTGTAAATTTTTCTTTTAATGTTTTTAATAAGTAACTAGAAACGAAAATTAACCAATCGTAACGTCCGTTAATTAATGTTAACGTCAAAGGTTATTGCTAATTAAAAAAAGTGAGGTTAAGGGCACAACTTAGACGTTTGAAAAAGCATGGACACAGCTTAGAAACCAAAAAAGTTTAGGGGCATAGCTTAGAAAAACCCAAAAATTTTACTTATAAGAAATGTTAAAAATAGGAGCATTTTTATTTTTTTTGAAAAAATTCTCAATAAAAAAAATTAAATATTCTATGTTTCTCTATCTTTTAAAAAGTTTGAGATCATTCTTATTAATGATGTTTGGACAATAATATCCTCTAAAATGATTATTTACTTATTTGTGTTCAATTTTGAGAAACTCTCATATATAGTGTTTGGACAATTACGCAGAAATTCTTTAAAATGTGTATTTACATATTTACCCTCCTTAATATTGATTACATATTGAAGTTATGACATAAACCCAAAAATGTTTCTCGAACATGTCTAGCTATAACGTGCGTTAGCTGCCCTATTTTCTTAAACGTTTCACTATAACGTTCAACAAGTTTTGGGGAAAAGTGTTGAATGCATTATTAAATAATTCACAAATTTTCATATGTGGCTAGCTACACGGGGTGTGCCCAGGGTTGCTCATTCAGGGGTTACTTGATCGGTCAGGGGTTATGCGGTCAGTGTTTTAGTGTGTGTCAACTTACTGCACAGTGTGGCTAGCCACACCAAAAAAGCGTTGGAAATTATTATTCAAGTGGGTATGTTGAAGAATAAAAAAAAAATTACAACGAATTAATGAGTTATTATGGGGAGGAGAAAGTGTGAATTTTTTTTTTTAAAAAAAGCTAGATAATTCCTGAACCATGCTCGTTTTTTAAAATTAATGGTAATTGAAATTCAAATGATGTACTATGTTTTGAAAACTGTGCATAAAAATAAATAATTGAATGATAATGTTTCTAGACAAAGTAATAATTCTATAAAATCTAAAAAAAAAGTATATATATATATATATATATATATATATATATATATATATATATATATATATATATATATATATATATATATATATATACATATATATATGAAATGGGGAATCAATGAATCATTAATGGGGAAGAAAGTATTAAAATACTAGATGAAGCCACGGTTTGTTTTTATTTTTTAAAACAATTATTTTTTGTATTTATGTGATAAAATTTATTATTTTATTCGTTGAATAAGATAACTAAATGTGGAAATATTATAGTAAAATTAACATTAATAATTACACCGATTGACGCGTGATTTTGTCATGCATTCCAAACTTAATACTATTTTAAGTAATATATTAGTATCTTATCTAGCGCCCCGGGGTGCTTGTTATCAAGATCTTAAAATAAATTGCTATTTTTGTTTATCTTATTTAGATAAATTCCTAATATATAATGATAATCTCTTATTTTTATAATTAATTTAAAATTTTAATTCTAAAATATATTACAATTATTTGTTTTCATTAGCTAAAATATAACATTTTCCTATGTGGCGTTCTAAAATCTCTTGAAAAAACTCTCTTTTATGCGTAATTTTTGTAAAAATTTATTACAATGTTGGTTTCATTAATCATCCAAATAAAGCATTTAATTTTGTTCATGATAATATTTAAAAAATAATCTAGCTTATGTGTCACTTTAATAATTTTTAATATAATCCTACGTAGCGCTTTGAAAATATTAATCTTACGTGGCATAATCCTAATGTAGCGTATTAAAAAATATTAATCCTACGTGGCGCTCCAAAAAATAATAATCTTTATTACAAAAATCCTACGTAACGCTTTTAAAATATTAATCTTACGTGAACATGTTCCTATTGTAGCGTTTTAAAAATATTAATCATACGTGACACTTTAATAATTTTTAAAAAATTATAATCCTACGTGGCTCTCTAAAATCTTGAGAAAAACCTCCCCTTTATATATATACTAGCATAGTGCCCGTGCGATGCACGGTTTATTAATGAAACTATTAATTACGTAAGAAAAAAAAAAAAAAAAACAAAGATAATCCAATTAGTAATAAGTAGTGAAAAAGATATACTTGTACAATTTTTAAAAATAAATAAACAATAATAACACATTCATAAATATATAAACGATTAAATGTATTTGTCATATTGGAAATATAATCAATTATTTGGAATCAATCAAAGTCAATAAAATATATTTTAAAATCAATGTAATTTATATAATATGTTGATTACACATGGAATAATATAGATATAAATAATAATTTATACAATAAATGATATGGAAAATATGTGAATCACAAATAAATATATTTTTAGGAAAGTGAATCACAAGTATATGATTTGATGAATATATAGAGAATAATTAAAAAAAAAAAAAAAACAACAATTTTGGAGGGAAAAAATGACACCGAGACGTGACACGTGTCATTGACGGTGCCTGTTTTAGTATTATGTTATTTATATTAGATTGTTACAACTTTTCAAAGCACCTATTAAAAAATGTAGGGAGTACAACCTTTCGTCTGTTGTTTTTATGCAAGTCAACCTTTTGGTTATTTCTCAACATTACAATCTTTAGAGGTGTTTATTTTAAACTAGCTAGAAAACCCACTATACCTAAGTGAAGCAAAGATTTATACATTTATTAATTAACCATATATAAGACCTTGTTTAGTTCACCTTATTTTCGCTTATATATGATCTGACCGAACTTTGACCTAATGTGTATGATAATCTATCAAGTGGGGTTTTGATAGATTCATAATAAAATGTATTTTATTAATATGTAATTTTCATAACTTTTCTCATTACTAAATTAAAGAATTTTAGCGATAAAAAACAGCACATGATGCATTAAGTGTGTCAAAATTTATTACTACATCCGTTTTATATTAGTTGCAACTTTGGAATATTTTATCTCTCATAAATATTACCCAAAGTTGTAACTAATATGTTACGGAGGTAGTATATCTGATATAGTCTATTTTTAACTTATTATAACTTATTTGATCAGAATTTATTTTTTCTGAAACAAGTAAAAATTAAGATGAACTAAACATGCATGGCCTAGGTGGCCTGGTATGTACTAGTACGAGTCTTACCAACTAATCAATCAAAAGCTCCTTGAAAACCAAGCCTTGAGTGAGGTTAGCTTAGGTGTTATTATGTTCAAACCTCAAAGGGTATGCGTTTTGGGATAGAATTAACTTTGGCTAAGGAGAGGTGTTTTGTGAATTCTTTTAAATATACAAGGGAAATAAAAGTGTCATTGATGCAATCATGCAAACAATATAGAAAGTAAATTAGGTGATTAATGATCGAAAATAAGTACACTAAGCTAGAGTCTAGCAGTATATTTCAAAATTAATTATCATTATATATTGACTACATATTTCAATTAAAGTATGTCCATTGCCCACTGGACAACGAGATCAAAGAGATTTGACACCTATGTTAGTTCACTTCTTGTAGCAAGTAGCGAACTAGCAACTAATGATCCATTGATCATGTATGTATATATATAAGGGTTTTTTTTTGGAAACAATGTATGGATACAAGGGTATTGTTTACTTTATTGTTATCCTATAATTCCTATTAATCATTATCATATATTACTCGAACTTATTAACCCTTATATGACACTATCTTATCCTATATTATTTAAAGTGTAACTTATAATAAATGAACATACTAGCCTTTATATATATATGTATTTTTTTATTTGAACATATTATGCTTATCTTATTTATGTGTTTATTCATCTGATTTTTACTTATATTTTATCTGAACTTCTGTGAACTTATCTGATTGTATTAAACTTTATTTTAGTTATCAGAAATATACTTATTTTTCGGAAATTTATCTGGTTTAAACTTACTAAACTTATTAGACTTGAATAAGTGAATATTGTTGGAGTAAAGGAAGAAATCCAAATAACCTGACTCGGGCGCCCGACCGGGCACGAGAAGAGTCGAAAAATTCTAAGGTTTCGTCACCCGATCGGGCGCGAAAGGATCGAACACTTGTAAAAACAAGTGTTGTTCGACCGACCGGGTGCGAGAGGACACTTGTAAAAACAAGCTAAGTGTTGTTCGCCCGAC